TTGAATTAAACTCTTAAGAAGAGACCAAAGAAGCTAGTAGGAAGGTGACAAACTGAATGAATTAAAGAATACAAAAAGTGTGGATGTGTATTTATTACTGACCTTACAATCCTTACTCTTTGTTAGAGTCAACACTAAAAACAAGGCCCATTAGCTGCAGGTTTCACCACACACACACAAACAAAAAATCTTCCAGTGTCTCATGCTTCAAAGACAGATGAATTTTGTCGATGCCAAGTTGTTTCTGTTTGTTTTTTAATCAAAAAGTCTAAAAAAAAAAAGGCATTTTCAGCACTGCTGTGCCAACACAGGGATATCCCCTCCATTGTATGGGACACAAAGACACATCAACTGCAAGCAGGGGAAGCAGCCTTCTCTGCCAGCTATTTTTAGCCCTACTTCACTCGTCATGTTAAAGACCAAACTTAGGATAATAATGCTGGGCAAACTTTAAAAGCATGAATTTTGTGAAAACAAACCTGTCCTTTTATATAGAAGTTCCTTAACAGTGAAATCCTATATACTCTTCTGAACTTAATCTCAAGGGACCTATATACTCTACAGAAAGCTTGTTAGCTCCTTCACAAATATAGACTCACATGTCCAAACACTGAAGTGGTAGCCATGTTTAAAGCCTGTCCCTCCCTTTTGAACTTCAAATCTTACACACTTCTAAAATATGTGTTTCGGGAGAGTCTCATCCATTCTCTGTTCTTACTATATCTTTGCTAACTTTAAACAGATTCCCTCCCTTCCCCGCCAAAGTAAAAATACACGGGTTTTTTGGCTCTTTATTCTCTTCTCAGCTCTCCTGATAAACCTTAATACTGTGAAAATGACTCCTAACTTTACATTTTCAGCATATCACTCATTAGTTTAACTATTTTTCTGTCTTCAGATTGCATCAGCACCAACTTTTTGCCCTAAAATGTAATGTCAAAAACAAAGTCCATTGCCCTATTTCTGAATTATTTTCTATAAGAAACCACTAGCACCAAACTAGAACATCTCCTTTTTCACTCCTCCAGTTATAGAGCTCTTTGATGACCATGGTTTAAAAATGTTGGTTCACTAGAAAAACAAAACTACTCCAGGTATAATGCCTCTTGAACTAAAAATACAGTTTCTCCTCAATCATCTAAAACTACCCTCTCGGAACATTGTTCTCAATTGCTTCTTTGAGCTGTATACATGTAACTGCACAAACACAAACTGACTCTAAGCCCACTTAACAACCTCCATCCATATTCCCATCAAGCTAACTTCCTGATTACATTTGTCCCTCACACCCCCCAATTCCAAAAGTCTTAAACACTACCTCCACCTGTATCTTTCTTCCTAAGAGAGACCTTCTTTCCCAGATTTGGTTCAGGCATTCCAATGGGGTTTGTGTAGTCCAACATCAACATTTTGCTAATGGAATATATACAAATACATTTATATCTATAAGGTACCAGAGTAGTATGACATATAATGATTGTAAATAAATATTGGCTCATTCCCCCCTTTTCCTACAATTTTGTAGAATTTATGTTTCATAGCCTATGCCATAAGTAAAAGCATCTCAAAGGCAGGGACCCCAAATACTTTGCTGTTTCTTTGCTACCCAAATATACAATAAAACATTACCGTGCTTTTTAACCAATCTCCAGTCAAAGCAATAAAAAAATAAGTCTTAAAGTTAGTAAGCAACTTTGACAGAGTACAAATATACACTCAAGTTATAGTTTGCTAGGTATGGCTTCCCTTCCTCCCCAAAAAACAGCCTATGCCCAGACTAGATTTCTCTTCCTCCCATCTTTTGTGAAACATGGGATACAGGACTTCCTCAAGGTCTCAAAATAAGATAACTGATCCAGAGACATTTGCTTTTGATTCAACATCTAACATTACATCTACTCATCAGAATTTTCATGTCATTACCCATTTAAAATAGATAGAACTTAAGGTTCCTTACAAAAGCATCCCAAGCACGAATATATAAAGAGAAACAAAACAGCTGGAAAAGTTGCAGGAGAGGCAAAACGATCAAGGAAGGGATCAAAGAAATCATTCTAAGACTGACACAGAAAACTAGGCATGATGATGATAAAGAGGAACAACCGAAATCTAAAAAAAAACAGGAAAAGATGAATTCTAGCCTGTCCTAGCATTCTCAAAACAAAAACGCTGGAGGTGCCTTGGGGCTTTAAAGAGACAGGTTTGGGATAAATAAATGAAACGTCAACTAGTTCAGGGGCTAGTACACTTGTATAACCCACTACCTCGAAAGAGAAAAAGTACAAACGAAAACCCTATTTGAGAAAGTTTTAAATATATGTAAAATCAAGATCCTGAATGGAGAAGTTAGCACAGACAATCCCAGCCTTTCATTCATTCCCACAAAGCTTCTCTCAGCAGCGGCTTCACAGGTAGTGAGCCTACACTGTTGTCTGGAGGAGTCACAATTCTCAGTATGGTACTGCCTATGTTCTGTTAAATGAAATTCCACCCTATGCTTAACACGTAAGGTCTATTTAAATACGTGGAATGGTCATTACTTTCCTGCACCTCACCTGGGCACTTTGACGGGATACCTAAACCTCACCTTCTAATAATGGAAGGGAAAAGAATCACTCTTCAAATAATCAAATATCAAAAAGTTTCTCCCTGTTTGGCAGCAAAGTAAAGATAACTCAAACAAGCAAAGTTTCAAGTCATCCTGCCAAATCAAAAAAAAAAAAAAAAAGTGCTGGCAATTAAGATAGGCTACTCAAAAATTAAAAAAAAAAGAAAAAGAAAAAGAAAAGGCATTTGGGTAGTGGAAAAAAGGTAACAACTTTTATAAACTGCTTGAAGTACTAGATGCTCTTCCCCCAAGTAAGTCACGATTGGTAAGAGTCAACTTCCTGAGTACCTGAAATCTCTTACAGTATCCTGACACGCAGGAGCTGGACCCAGGAAATGAGAAGGTTAAAAAAGAAATAAAGAAAGAAAGAAAGAAAAAAAAAAAAAAAAAAGAAGAAGAAGAAGAAAAAAAAAAAAAACTCCTGTACCAATAGGTACTGAAATGAAAATCTCTCAAGGAAGACTGCAAAAACAAGAAAGGAATTTTACTGAAAGCAAAATTCAGGGGTTCACAGGGCAAAAGGTTCCCTCCCAAGAACCCTAAGAGTTGCCCCGAAACAAAAACCACAGCGCTGTTTCACACCCGGTGTACCAGGAAAAGGTGTATTACAGAGATGTCCTTTGTGTGCACATATGCTTTGGCTTCCTCAATTTCCTTCTGCCGATTACTGGCCAGAAAGGTGCAAGTGTCCGCTCTGGACAAAGACAGAACACTCCCCTGAGAGAGGGACCTGTAAGCCTGCGCGTTACCCGTGCGAAGAGGTGAAGCGTCCTGAGACCCAGGACGGCCCCATCAATACCTTCTCCCCCGCTGTGAAAACACAGATGCACCGAGCCTCATCCACGCGCACCCGCACACACCCGCACCCCGCACCCCGCGCCCCGCACCCCCGCGAGCGCGCGCCCCGCTCCAGCAGCGCCAACCCGCCCCTCCCGCCGCCCCCGCCCCCCGCCCCCCGCCCCCCGCCCCCCCGCGCCCTCTCCCCGGGCCACTCACACTTCGGGGGAGAGCCGCGGCGCTGCGCTGCGCTGCGAACCGGGCCGGCGCCCGTCCTCCGTCGGGGAGGCGGCGGCCGCGGAAGGCTCCGGCGCTGCCGAGGGAGGAGCGGCGCTCGCGCGAAGCCGGGCGGCCAGCAGGGCTCTTCCGCGCTGCCGGGGCCCGGGAGGCGGCGGCCGCCCCGCTTCCCTCCTGCCGCCCTCTTCCTGGGTCTCTTCAGGCTGGGTCCCCTGCCCGCCCCGGGCCGCCGCTCCCCGGACAGTCCCGTCTGCGAGGCTCCAGATTCTGCTCTTACCAAGTTTTCCGGTCGCGCTGAGGCTGCGGCCGGCCCCCCGGGTCCCCCCCGGCCCCGCCGCCCTCGGGGCTGGGGCGGGGGAGGGGGCTCTGGGAACTCCTCCCGGAGTCCTGCCGAGGCGCCGGGGGGCCGGCGGCTGGCCGAGGGAGAGGACCCCCCCGCGAGGGGGCCGAGGACGCGGGGAAGGCGAGGGAAGGACGGCGGCGCCGCTCCCGCTCTCCCCGCCGCGCCCGGGCCGCCGCCTCACATCGGGGTCCCCGCCCCCCCGGCCGGGGGGTGGCTGCTGAGCTCGGGCCGCCGGCTCATACACTCCGGGGCCAGATGCTACGGCCCCGGGCGGGTGGCCGAGGCAGCGGCGACGGGGGGGACCCGGCCGGCTCCGCTCGGCGCCGCCCCCGCTCCCGGCTCCCGCATGTGTCGCTGCGGCCGGGACCCCCTCCCTACACGTCGGGGGTCCCTCGCCCCGCGGCCCGGGACGAGACGGAAGCTCCGGCCCGTCCTCGGCGTCTTCGCAGCGCGGAGCAGCTCACGAGTCCCGGCCCGAGGTAGCCGCCTCCCTGCCCCCCAGCCGCCGGCTCGGCTCGGCTCCGGCTCGGGCTCGGGCTCGGGCTCGGGCTCGGGCTCGGGCTCGGCTCCGGCGTGTGCAGCCGCGGCTGCCGGCCGGGAAGGCGAGGGGGGGAGAAGAGGGGCGGCCGCGGCTCCCGCCGGTCCGGGTCAGGACGGAGGTCTCGGCGGCGGCCGGTGCCCGGGGGCCGGGTCCCGCGGACGCTCCCTCGCGCTCACGCTCTCCGCGGCGGCGGCGGCGGCGGCGGCGGCGGCGGCGCCCGGAGCTCCGCTCGCTGTCTCGCTCGCTCTGTGCGGGGCTCTCGCCTCACTCCAGAGAGGGGCGGGAGGAAAGCGGCGCGGCCGGATGACGCAAGTCACCTAGCAACCGCTCCCCTCACCCCCTCCCTTTTCTTTCCGCCGGGACGTTTCCTCCGCTGGCCTTTTTTTTTTTTTTTTTTTTCCCCCCCGTCCTAGGCACCCCGCCCTGGGTGACTGCGGCGCGCTCTGATGACGCGGGAAGGGAAGAGGAAGTCGGGGCTCCGCGAGCGGGTGGGTGCGCCTCGGGCCGCGGGACCTGCCGCCGCCGCCGCCGCCGCCTCTGCGGCCGCGTCAGAACCGAGGAGAGGAAGGGGAGGAGCCGAGGGGAGCCTAAGCTGCCGCCTGATCTTACCCCTGACCCGGCGGCGGGCGGCGGCGGCGGGCGGCGGGCGGCGGGGAGAGCTCGCGCCGCAGCGGTCTCCTCCGGGGCAAGGCGGCGGCTGCTCCTTTGGGAGCGAGGAGGAAGGCCCGGCCCGCGCGGCCATGCTCGGGCGCGCACCCCCCGAAGGTGAGGCATCCAGCCCCGATGGGCCTCGGGAAGCCAGACTGAGCGCGGGCTGCCCCGCCGCCTGACCCGCTGCACCTGCTCCGGGGAGCGAGCGCCCCTCCCCCTGCGCGGGCGCGGGCGCTGGCGCGGGCGCGGGCGAGACCCGGCCCCCGACACCCGGCAGCGTGCGGTCGGGCCGAGCACATGCTCGGGGATGAATGAACGCGGAGCGCGGAGCGCGGAGCGCTGGATGGGGCGCGAGCGCTCCGTGAGCTGCGTAGCGTGGTAGAGAGGAGAGCGGCCAGACAGCCCTTCTCCGCACCCACCCCCACCCCCCACCCCGCGGGAGCACGGAGGCCTGGGGTTTGAGTCCCGAGTCACCATCTGAGCCTTATGCTCCAAAGTGGGGGGGGGGGGCGGGGAGGGGGGCGACTGGCCGGGACGAGGGAAGGGGGCCATCCTCCCGGAGATTGTGGAGAGGTTTTTGACTTTTTTCAGGAGGAGATGTTAGTAGTGTTTTAGATTTCAGGGATCATTCTTGCTTGCGTGAAGCTTTGGAGAGCTGATTTTGGTCGTTAGGTAAGTGTCCACAACCGTCACCGAGAAAACGTTGGCCTGCGTTTCAGGTCTAATTCAAAGGCTATTTCCTTTCTCAAATAAATATTGTTACTCTTAGGCAGCTTTTCCTACAGATGTTAGTTACCCTGGAAAGTGAATTCGAGTAAAACTCATGGAGTTGTAAAGTGTAGTTAGTTAGTTCTCTAGGAAAGGACATTTTGAGATGAAAGTGTCAGAATCCTCGGAATCTGCCTTGAACCTGTCCGTGGAGACTGAGATGAGAAAGCAGCAGCAAGGACGGAAGGACGCAGATTCCAGAGTCCCGCCGCCGGACCCTGGCACACCCCACCTGCTCCCGAAGCAGCATGAATGGATGTTACAAGTCTTTCCACTTTGGGAAATAAGGAGCGAGTTTTTATAGGCAGATTTTGGAAGCTCGGGGTTTCTACCAGCATCATATGCAAACAGTAGACCAAAGAAGGTTCTAATTGGGCGAACCCAAGGGCTCATTTTTATTAAAATGCTGCAGCAAGAGTGATAGGGGTGGGGAAGTGGGTGTTGGCAGAAGCAAGAAGAGACTCACAAAGCAGAACTTGCCCAGGTGTCCTTGATGCGAAGTCCCAAGAGCCAGGCTAACTTTCCTGTTAAAGCTACTGTGGATTTTACTGCGTTGTCGTGACCACTGCCTTACCATGTCCTTCCAAGTTAAGACTCAGAGAATCTGATCCCCAAGTGATAGCCCCACATGGTTTTGCCTCTCCCTAATTTCCTGGCAGACATTGAATGAGTTGAATGCACAGATTTAAGAGATTTTTGTGAAGCTGAGCACCTCAGATTTTAAGCCCTTTGGACACTGGATAAAAAGTGAGAACATGAGAGCTCTGCAACCCAGCAGGGGACACCTCCAGAAAAGTGCGTACTGTACCACATGGGGTTTTTCAGCAGCCTGATGTGTTTTCATTGTAAGTGGCTCCACCTTAGAACCTTAGTACTGAGAGACAGAAAAGCACTCAGGAGAGCCCTCATCCAGCTACTTATGAAGAAATAGAAGCACTAAACTTACTGGGCAAAATCCACACTCCTCACCACCCAGTACGGTAGCTGGAGGAAACAGATGGAACTGGCAAGTGGAGAGGAGGAAGTTCATGCATTTCCAACTTGGTCTGCGTCTCTTTAGTTCTTTTACTTATTAATCCAGAGGAGGAAACAGCTAGTTTGTTCCAGAATTCCAAAAAATCTGAAATTTCAGGTAACAGTTCTTTTCCTGCTTCATCAGTTTGTGATAAAGATCTGCGTACAATGTTAAAATATAACAAAGGAATGTTTGTATAGGGTTCTTTTCTCCTGCACTTGAAAGTGAGCTCTTATGAGAGACTATTTTAATCAGCGTTTTATTATCCCACATCAGTGGTTTTTACTGTCAGAGATTTTGTAAAGCTAGATTATCTGGTAAAATTTGTACAAATGCCTTCCAGAGTCTTCAATTACTTTTAGCATTTTTATTGTGAAATACACATTAAAACGCAGAAAGCAGTTATTTGTTATAATAAGTAGTTATAAAAGAAACCTCCCTGTGACCAGCCAGGTCAAGAAATGGAACATTGCCAGCATCCTAGAAGCCCCCCCTGGTGACCTTCCTGAGCACAACTCTCCCTCTCTTTTAGAGGTAGCCATTATTCGAACTTTCCTGATAATCATCTCCTTGTTTTTCTCTATTGTCTTTTTCACAAGCAAGCATCCCTAAACAATATGTTTAGTTTTGCCCTTTCTGTTGAACTTTATTAAATGGGACAACATAGGATGTAATTTGTTTGCTTGCTGCTTTCACACATCATTTTTAATCCATATGTTGTTCAGGTTGTTCATATAATTGTAATTTGTTCAGTTAATTGCAGTGTGCCATTGTAGCAATATGCCATAATTTATTTAGCCATTCTATTGTTGATGGACATCTGGATTGTTTCCAGTGTGGAACTGTTAAAAAGGCTGCTGTGAACATTCTTCGTATGTGTACTCCATCACATTTATATCAGTTTCCGTATGGCATATACCTGGGAGCTGCTTCTAGAGTCTTATACCAGCCATGTAGGTGAGTCCCATTCCTCCACCCCCTCAACCCACTGAGTGTTGTCAATCTTTTTGCCAGTCTGGTGGATGTGTATTAGTATGTCATTATGGTTTTTTAAATTTCTCTTATTGGTGATATTATCGAGTTCCTTTTCATATATTGACTAGCCATTCAGATTTCCTCTTTTGAAGTGCTATTACTTTTTTCATTCCCAGTATTTGAGATGCCTGATTTTCCAATATCCTTCTATAGTCCACATTTGAACAATGTATTTCAGGTAAGGTAATGCTACCAGATGAGTTACCAGATTTGGGACAAGATCTTTCCAAAATACAATTATAGCTTACTTAATTATCTTCTATGAATTTGATTACAAGCATCTTAAAGATAGGAAAAGATTATTTTATATTTTGATTTTTACCTTCCAGAATAATCCCATGCTTTCATCTTCCATTGCTGGAATTTCTCCTGGTGGTTTGGGGTTTTGTTGTAATTTAGTTTCCCTCAAGTATCTAAAAGGTGATTTTTATTCTCTCCAATCTATGTAACTGAATTCTGTTCTGTTACTTTGTATGTTATAGGCAACTCTGTAACAAATTATTTTCCCAGCACAGGGGTTTTTTTCATTTCCCAGTTTCATTCATTTTATAAAAGTCACAGTGACTTTTCATTTCTTTTTTTTTTTTTTTTTTTTAAGATTTTATTTACTTGAGAGAGAGAGAGAGAGAGAGATCATGAGCAAGGGTGAAGGGCAGAGAGAGAAGCAAGACTTCCACTGAGCAAGGAGCCTGATGCGGGACTCCATCCAAGGGACTCCAGCCAGGATCATGACCTGAGCCAAAGGCAAACGCTTAACCAACTGAGCCACCCAGGCACCCCCTTTTTCTTTCTTCTGAAGTCCCAGCTAAAATACATGGTTTGTTGGGGTTTGTTTGTTAATTTCACTCAGTAATATCAAATACCATACCATACATGTCCTCTACCTGGCAAATTTCTCTTTGGTCGTCTTTATCATTTTCATATCTGTCAGTTCTTTGTGTAGAATCAGTGACATTTTAAAGCTGGAGGAAGATGAGACCCAGGGAAATTATTTTACCTAGGGTCAAAAAAGCAAGTGAATAGAATGCCTGGATTCCACCCCAAGTCTTCCAATAAGTATGTTTGCCATTATATCACACTGACTCAGTTTTCTGGACCAGTAAGATAAATTAATTCCAGTGGTCTATAGAAGATTGTTTACTTCTAGATGGCAAACCTTGTATTCTATCATTAAATAAGATTGTTTCATTTTGCTCCAATAGCTCTAGGATCAGATTAAGGCCTATATAAATAAAAATAAATAAATACAATTTTAATGATTATTATAAATAACTTCTAAAGGGGGATTACATGAAAACTTTTTTTTTTAAGATTTATTTATTTATTTATTCATGAGAGACACAGAGAGAGAGGGAGAGAGAGAGGCAGAGACACAGGCAGAGGGAGAAGCAGGCTCCCCTCAGGGGGCCGGTGCAAGACTCGATCCTGGATCCCAGGATCATGACCTGAGCTGAAGGCAGGTGCCCAATCACTGAGCCACCCAGGTGTTCCACATGGAAGCTTGTTTTAAAAAAATAAGGTTTCTCCACTCTTTCCTCAAATAAACCCATTACATCTTCAGAGAACCACCATGCTTCCTTAATATCTGAGAAAATAATTGCACAAAAGAAAACAATGGTTAGTAGTGTCAGATAATTCAGGAAAGGCCCTTGGATTTGGTGATCAGTTCCCTAATACTTTTGTAATGCTGTTAAAAATGTTGAATGTCACAGGGTGCCTGGGTGGCTCAGTCAGTTGAGCATCTGTTTAAGCGTCTACCTTCAGCTCAGGTCATGATCCCAGGGTCCTGGAATCTAGTCCCTCATTGGGCTCACTGCTCCCTCTCCTCCTGCCTGCCACTCCCTCTGCTTGTGTGCTCTCTCTCTCTCTCTTTCTCTCTCTCTCTCAAACGAATAAACAAAACCTTTAAAAAGAAAAAAAATGAATATCAGAACTTAATGACATTTTGTAAGTCTGAGAACGAATCAACCTAGAAAACCTAGCAACTGCTTGATGAGATTGCCCCTCTGTTGCCTTTACCATCAACTGGATTTCAAAAAAGACTGACTATAGGGGATCCCTGGGTGGCGCAGTGGTTTGGCGCCTGTCTTTGGCCCAGGGCACAATCCTGGAGACCAGGGATCAAGTCCCACATCGGGCTCCCGGCATGGAGCCTGCTTCTCCCTCTGCCTGTGTCTCTGCTTCTCTCTCTCTGTCTATCATGAATAAATAAATAAAATCTTAAAAAAAAAAAAAAGACTGACTATAAAAATGAATTATTAATGAACACTAAACTAGTATTAATAGAAAATAAATAAATCACTTGTAATCTGATAATTTAACCTCAGAGTTTCAGAAAAATCCTTCCTTTGGTTTTGTCCTTAATAGTCACAAAGTATTTTTATCTAATAAAATCCTTCCAAGTTAGGATTAAACTGGTAATTTAACCCTGAAGATCAAAGGCTTTAAAATGTTCTGGCTTGAAATTAAAAGTTGAATTACTGAATTAACAGTAGGGAGTTGCCAAAGGTACCAGATACAAAAATATTAACTATTTTTACCATAACTTCCAAAATGCAGTGGTATATAGAAAATATGAAGGTGTTAGAATATCTATCATAAGTGTAGACTTTTCACATTTAATTCACAATTCACTGAACAAAAATTTATTTATCACCTACTATTTCCCAGCACTTAACTGAGTGCTGAACATCTAATGATGAAACAAGCCTAATCCCTAGCTTCATGGTGCTCACAGTCTACTCCTTAGTATGTGCCGGGTTTGACATTTGACTCTAGTCACTACCATCTAAAACTATTTGATCTATATACCATCTAATAATCTATAAGTAAATGAGTGACTGCTTTTATTTTCTTAGTAAGCAAATAAATGATCACATGCTATAAACCTTCAATCCTATTGTCATTTTTCAGAATCTCATTATGACTTTGTTTTTAAAATACAGAAACACTGAAAAGTCCTCTTAATTCACTTTGCTGTATTTGCTTTAAGCACTTTTTCCTGAACCATTTGAAACAGTTGCAGGCCTCACGTGGCTTCACTCCAACCTAAGCAAAAGGATATACCTAACTTCAATCTTTAACCTGATCTAAAACGTTAACAAAAATCTATATCTAAATATATAGTTCATATTTAGATTTCCCTAGTTGTCCCAAGGAGTTTTTCCAGTTTTATTGGGATATAAATGACAACACTGTAAAAGGTTAAGGTATACAATGTGACGATTTGATATACATACATATAGTGCAGTGATTACCACAATAAGGTTAGTTAACACATACATCACCTCACATAGTTACCTTTTTGTGTGTATGACATTAAATATTTCAGATCTCTCTTAGCCAATGTCAGGTATAAATTTTTGATAGCTGTGCTGTCCCCCAACCTGGATCCAATCATGTTTCACACATTGCATTCTTCAATCATATGTATGTATGTATGTATTTATTTATTTATTTATTTATTTATTTTATGATAGGCACACAGTGAGAGAGAGAGAGAGACGCAGAGACATAGGCAGAGGGAGAAGCAGGCTCCATGCACTGGGAGCCCGACGTGGGATTCGATCCCGGGTCTCCAGGATCACGCCCTGTGCCAAAGGCAGGCGCCAAACCGCTGCGCCACCCAGGGATCTCTCTTCAGTCGTATTTAAATGTAAATATTTTTAGAGAAACTAAAAACTGGACTCATAATATTTGGAAATAATTGTTTTTACAATATATCCTTTCTCTCTTTAACAATGTTACATTTTAAGTCTAAGAGTACTATGTATTTTTAATAGAGGATGGTCTCCCTTTAGTAAGTAGCTTTTCACTCACCTTCAACATCACAGTGAAGCTTTAATAAGTGGGGAACTCATTCTCTGAGATATTGAGCATTCCCCTATTTTCTGAAAATTACCTATACATTTTCTTAGACGCTGCTTTCTTCTCCTTTCACCCCACTGTGCTTTTCCTAGAAAGCTCTGATTTTTCTCCCACCTAAAACCCTTATTAGCTCTTTTCCCACTCCCTGAATTTGTCTTAACTTCCTAGAAACCCTTTCCAATAGTATCTAACTACACAGTTCTTAAATCTCTTATTCTCTACATGCCTTTCAGGCTACCACAACCTCTTCTTAGCTCTATGGGCATCTGCACCTGATTTCCTTTACCAAAACCCTTTCACTAGAAGTCTTTTGCATCAGAATCCACCACCGTGAAGGAAAGAAAAGGCATGACATCTTCAAGAACCTAGAATGTGCAGTTATTTGATCTTCACGAAACCCTGCAAACTAGGTGCAAGATACCCACATTCCTTTTTCCTCTCCTTGAGCACATGAGAAGACTGTTTCCCAGTTTCCCTTGCTATTAGCCTGGGCCAATGTAATTGGTCTCGCCAGGAGCTATGGGCAAAAGTAATGGGCCTGGTTCCCAAGCTTGACTCTAAAGTCTCTTGTGAAACAATCAGCTTGTGACTTCCATTGTCGACAATGCTTAAAAGCAAAGGATGTTAAGATACTGGATTACCTGTATCACAAGAGTTCAGATTCTTTAGTTGCTGCAGCAACAGATAGTGAACAGAGCAGAATGTAAAGTTGTATTAAGTTTCTGAGTTTATTACCAAATTTGTATTTAGACACATAAAGAATAGCAAGTCATTGTGTTTGTAGTCTAGTGAAGTTAGGTTACATAAGCTTTCGCGACCTGACATCAAAATGCGATCCCCCTTGTTAAACTGTTATTATAGAAACGTGAGTTCTGAGTTCCAGTCCAAACTATAAAAGAACTTAAAGAGAAAAGGAAACAAAAACTCTAGGGATTGATTTTTCTGTGAAAGAAGTACCACACATGAGAACACCAGTACCCTTGAGGTATTTGTTTAAGGCTGCCTTTTCAACAAATAGGCTGCCATTTCAAAGATGAAGAAATCCTCAGGTTCTCCAGCCTTTTATTTCAAGGTAGACATTTCTTTTAATAACCAAATAAAATGTTATGACCTACCATCTTACATGCTATGAAAAGTTCAGAGCCAGTTCTCTCCACTATAGCTGGCTTACTCAAATTATTTCAATGCTGTGCCCTGCACTGAACACTACTATTTAATTCATCAACATGAGAGTGTTCTATGTAGTGGACTTTTAGGTTGAGGAGTAACAACTGGTTGTTATAGTATAAGAGCCAACTTAGAGTACAGGATACAACTTCCAAAAATCAATGTCAAATAAAACTTTCCCTAAAACTATTGGCCAATTACAACCTGAAGGATTTCTTTTACTGATTGTATCTTTCCTTAAGTCTCTTCCCATCACCCTATATTTGCTACTCTAACCCCCACATTCTCCTCACATCCCTCCAAAGCAATCTCTTTAAGTACAAGATTCCTTTTATTTTATTGAGCAAGCCATTCAACTCTCTTGGGTTTCAACCTCTCATGGAAAGCCCATTAGGGTGCCCCATTAGGGCTCATCTGCCTTCAGCTCAGGTCATGATCAGGGGGTTCTGGGGTTGAGCCCAGCTTTGGGCTCCCTGTTCAGCAGAGAGCCTCTCCTTCTGCCCCTCCCCCCTGCTTGTGCTCTCATGTACATGATAGCTCTCTATCTCAACTAAATAAAAATCTTTTTTTAAAAGCCCATCAAGCTCGTTATCAATAACATTCACAGATGTAAATAACAGAAAACCCAACTGGCATAAAGATTTAGAGGATTCATTGTTTCTTTCAGTGAAAAATCCTCTAGTCTGGAATTCAAGATTGGCATAGTAGCTCAGAATATGATCAGTTACCCGGACTACTTTTCTTTCTTTGCCATCCTATTGCCATCCACACCACACTGACTTTTATCATCATGAGTCACACATCAGCAGCCATTCCTCAGGAGTCACATTTAAATTGCAGACTAGAAGGAAGAGGAAAGGGTGGTGCCTGTAGGAGGAAATGCTAATTCTTTCCTTGATGTTTCCAGCACACTCCTGTTTAGGTCTGGCTGATAGAATGTATCTTGGGTCCATGCCTAGATCTAAAGAAGGCTGGGAAGTATTTTTACTGGGCATTATGGCCCAAAGTGAGGTTGGAATTCCATTAATAAGAAAAGTGGGAAAAACAGATAAGGAGTAGGAAATTAGCAGTGTTTGATGACACACTTGTCTTAGTCCTGACTGCTATAAGAAGGAACCAGTGGTTGGGTGGCTCATAAACAACAGAAATGTACAGTTCTAGAAGCTGGAAGTTTGTGATCAGGATGCAATCATGGTCAGGTGAGAGACCCTCTGACAGGTCAACTTTTTTGCAGCCTCACATGATGGAGAACAGAGAACATCAACCACTCTCCTAACTTTTATAAGGGTATGAATCCCATTCATGAGGCCTACATCCTCATGACCTGTCTACTCCTAATTACTCCCAAAGGCCTCGCCTGATAGTACTATCCCACGGTTGTGTAGGAATGGGGCAGGGGGCAGTAATAAGATACCAACCTGTAAACATTCAGTCCATAACACCCTTAGAGATGTTTTTCTTAGAAGAACCATGTACCCCAGAGATGAAATACCACTTTCTAATCCCAGAAATAGCTACCATTTTTATTTTAAATGGTATTTAAATGTTTTTATATTATGTATTTATTTTTAACATTTTATTTATTTATTCATGAGAGACACAGAGAGAGAAGAGGCAGAGACACAGGCAGAGGGAGAAGCAGGCTCCATGCAGGGAGCCCGATGTGGAACTCTGTCCCAGTACTCCAGGATCACGCCCTGAGCCAAAGGCAGACCCTCGACCACTGAGCCACCCAGGCGTCCCTAAATGTCTTTATTTTAAATAGCAATTTTCCTTCCTGTTGAATCTTTTTTGCTTCTTGTAGCTTAAAAATTCTAGCAATTCGATTTCAAGAGCACTTTTAAATAAATGAATTTGTGATCTCCAGATGGTTGGCTTTTAGTCTCTTACATCATCATTGCAAAAGACATATCAGTGGCATTTTTAAGCTCTTTTTTTAGACCTATGTCTAAGAATGATTAAATTTTCATTTCCTTATTAAAACCAAAAATAACCATTCTACTTATTTTCAAACCATCAAACTCACAGAAAAATGGAAAGTACAGTTTAAAGAATTTTTTGTCTTGAGCCATTTGGGAGTTAATTGCCAACCTGATGTCCTATCACCCCCCAAATACTTAAGCCAATATATACAGCACATTCTCCTACATAATCACAGTGCAACCATCAAAATCAGCATATCAAGTTGATGATTTCTACTATCCAATCCTGAGACTTCCATTAAATTTCATCCCTTGTCCCAGTAATAACCTTGATAGCAAAATAAAGGGTACACTTTGGAATGTGTGTTGAGTTCAATTGTCACATCTCTTTAATCTCCTTAAATCTGAAATGTTTCCTTAGTCTTTCTTTGGCTTCCACAACTTTGATACTTCTGAAGATTATGGTTACTTCTTGTGGAGACTATCCCTCAACTTCAGTGTGTTTGTATTTAGCAGGAATATTACCAAAGTAGTGCTATTCTTATTATATCTCATTAGGTGCCACTCAATTTGTCCTACTACTGATGATGTCCAGTTTAATCACCCAATTAAAATGATGTCTGCCAGGCTTCTCCACAACTAGGTAACTCCAAAATAAATTACTGTTTTTTCCACTTGGAATTAATAAGTTTTAATTTTGTGAGGAGATACTTTAGATCTAAATAAATATCTCGTTCCTTATCAAATTTTCACTTTTTCATTTATATCAGCATGGGCTCATGGTTTTCTCTCTTGTTTAATGAGTTAAAATCTGTTACTATTGTTATTTATTTTGATGCTTAAATTGTCCTATATTTGACTAGTGGGAACTCCTCCAGATTGGCTTCTGTGTCATTTTGTCCCATCATTCTTTTAGTACTTTTTTTTTCTAGCCCAACAAAATGTTCCAGACCCAGTGTTGAAAGTGTCCCTTTCTCCAAGGAATAGGAGTTACCAAATAAAATAAAAGTTAATCAGTTAAACTGGATTTCAGTTTATTTTGGCATAGGTATGTCCCATTCAATAATTTCTTATTTACTAAATATCTGCTATATTTTTATAAGATAAATGTGGCACCATACCTTGGTTCCTTTAAAAGGTGAATGGTATTTAGAAGCCACAATCTGGGTGGGTCTGCTGGTTGCAATTTGAGTTCACAGCTCTCAGACTCTCTTGAGCTAAGGAACACACACACACACATACATACATTTACATCTGTATTTATATATCAATATTGATGCCATATAAATATGTATACAGTGTAATCCATAAATTCACATTGATGGTGTCTAATTCCAATCCCACACCTGGGAGTTATTCTGGTTTTTTCCTTTTCCATATTTATGACTTCAGTCTCCTAGAGAAAAAACCCTCGCTTGTGTTATCCTTCATACACATACTTATTTGATCAGTCCCTTGGTATATAACCAAACTCACACCATTACCACTGCTCCCTTGCCCTCCTCAGCTGATTGTGCTAGGACCCCTGTGCCAGGCTATCCCCACAAACACCCTCTTCAACAAACCTGGGCTCTGACCTCACCACTGGCCACCCCACAGTATGGATGCCCTCTTCACCTTGCTCGGGATCTGCCCCACCCCCCACCCCCTACTGCTGCTTCTGACAACATGCCACCCGTCTGCATGGATCTTCTCCTCCCCCTGTTCAGTCTTTGCTACCACATGCCTCGGCCTGCTCAGAATCCAGCTCCACACTGGTCCTCCCTGTGTGCTCACCCTCCTCACCTGGCTCTAAGCATAGAAGTCTTTAAAATAAGTGATCTTTGGGATGCCTGGGTGGCTCAGCGGTTGGGTGTCTGCCTTCACCTCAGGGCGAAAGAGTACCAGGATCAAGTCCCACATGGGCTCTTTGCATGGAACTTGCTTCTCCCTCTGCCTTTGTCTCTGCCTCCCTCTCTATCTCTCATGAATAAATAAATAAAGTGTTTAATAAAAACAGTAAGTGATCCATAAGTACAAAATATATTATTCATCACTCATAACACAAGCTGAAGTTTTCAGTATAAAAGAGACTTTGACAGAGGCACCTGGAAAAATAGTTACTCATAGATATTTGTATTCATTTGCATTGAGCTGATACTAACCATTATTTATTGACTAATAGTAAAATTCTGAGAAAAGTCAAAATTAGAAATGTAGACTACTGTTTAAAAACATATGTCTGTTCTCTATTTCCTCTCAAAACCCCCTAAAATAATAGTAAAGGAATAAAAAGCTATAAAAAGTACATAGAGAACAGGAAATAAGGTAATAGGAGAAAAGAGATGTCAGGAAATTCTAGAAGGTAGTAGGTGCACAGGAGCAACCAAATCACTTCAAGAAAAGGAAGCTAGAATCTAAGTCTCTGCAGCAGAGTGTCCTGCAATAACCAGCCAATTCCTGATATGGAACCCTAGAAAATGGCAAAATTAAAATCACTAGTTGCCTCTGAAGGCACAAATGCAGGGTAAAGCAGAAAACAGGCTTTTTCTTAAATATAATGGAAAGCCAACGACCACCAAACATGAGGGAAGTCTAATACGAAAGTAAAGAAAATTAACTTGGAGGAAACTGAGATAATACAGAAGAAGAAAAGTATCAAAGACGGTAATAAAACTTTTTAAAGACTAATGGGAATGGGATAACTGTATGTCTGTGTATGTTGAGATAATGAAAGACTCATCTTTAATAATAGGAACTTAATAGGTGACATCTTGGCTTGAAAAATCATGACCTACCTGTATCTGCATATTATTTAGACGCAAATACTAAAAGGAAAAAGTAGCACCGGAAGAGTTGAAAGTAGTTGCCTCTAAAGAATTCATATTAGTTGAGAGGAAATGCAGGTGCCCTTGATTTTTTTTTAATATTATTTATTTGGGAGAGAGAGCACAAGCAGGGAAGAGTTTCAGAGAGAGAGAGGGAGAAGTAGACTCCCTGCTGAGCAGGGAGCCTGATGCAGGGCTGGATCCCAAGACCCTGAGATCCTGACCTGAGCCAAAGGCAGACACTTAACCAACTGAGCCACCCAGGTGCCCCATTGTTTATTTCTGTGATTGTTCTTTATGAGCCCATAAATTACTTTGATAAAAATTAAAATTTAATTTAAAAATTAAGTTTGTACAGATTAAAATATCTTCATGTAGCACAATTTGAAAAGAAGCAGGCTATAGTGGAAAGGACCAGAATTTGATATCTAGGTTCATGGATAATTCTGCCCTTTTATTGCTTATGCAAATCTGTGAAAGTCTTAAGCCTTGAGACTCAGTTATACATTTATGACTTGGGGAAAATAATACTTGCCCTACTGTCTTAGTTTATAAAGCTTGCCATAACAAAATACTGCAGACCAAGTAGCTTAAACAAGTTTTCCCCCACCCATTCCCCCATCCCCCCCACCCGCACCCACCCCAACACCCCTACCCGCAGTTCTGGAGGCTGAAAGTCCATGATCAAGGGCTTGGCTGGGTTGGTTTCTCTTGAAGCCTCTCTCCTTGTCTTGTAAATAACCCCTCCTTGCTGTAACCTCAAATGGCCTTTCCTCTCAGGGAGTTCATCTTTAAGGGCTCTTCCTCTTCTAATGAGGATACTAGTCAGATGGGATTGGGGCCCTACCCCAATGGTCTCATTTTAATTTAATCACCTCTTTAAAGACTTTATCCCCAAAAATAGTTACATCTGTGGTTCTGGAGATTGGGATTTCCACATGTAAACTTTGAGGAAACACAATTCAGTCCATTATACCTACTTTCTACATTCACTCATTTGCTGAGATCTTTTGGGGTTCCTTCATGTTCCATCCTGTGCTAGGCAATGAGGACTGAATGAGAGGATCAAATGAGATAGATGGCCTTTTGAAACTAAAGTATTTTTTTAAATGAAGGCAGACCCCATCCAGCATAATTCTTTGCTTACAGGAAATAATTAAAGTGGAATTAAGTGAAGAAGATGGAAATTTTTTAAAAAGGAAGAAAAGGCAAGTGTGGACAAATTTATTGAATAGCCCTGATATGTGCCAGGCACTGATTATAAGATTTATATAAATTGTCTCATTTAATCCTTACTTCTACCCTGCTGGAAAGACATTATCAAAGTCATTTTCCAGACATCTGGGTGGCTCAGCAGTTGAGCGTCTGCCTTTGGCGCAGGTTATGATCCCAGGTCCAGGGATCGAGTCCCACATCAGGCTCCCTATGAGGTGCCTGCTTCTCCCTCTACCTATGTCTCTGCCTGTGTGTGTGTGTGTGTGTGTGTGTGTGTGTGTGTGTGTGTGTGTGTGTGATGAATAAAGAAATAAAATGTTTTTTAAAAATCATTTTCCTGGTGAGAAACCTATTAGAAACTCAGTAACTTCCCTAAGGTTGTACAGCCAATCTAACTTGAATTTGGATCTATCCAATGCCTCTACTCTCTACTGTGAGTCACAACTGAAAGGAATCATGGTTAGGCTTTATTTCTTTAAACATTTTTTGTTAAATATTGAACATATTCAAAAAGTATCATTTATGTGTATAGAGAATAATGATAAAAAGAATACCTGTGTATTTACAACCTGACTTGAGATAGGAAATATTACCAATTCCTTAGAAGTACTGTTATACATCTCCCTTCATCCCTATTCTTTTCTCTCTTCCTTCCAGAACCATTATTCTAGTTTCTTTTTAAGTTTTTTTTCTCTATTATTTTAGGTGGCATGGGATGAAGAGAGGTAGAAGGAAAGAATCTTTTTTTTTTAAGATTTTATTTATTTATTCATGAGAGACATAGAGAGAAAGGCAGAGACAGAGGCAGAGGGAGAAGCATGCTCCATGTAGGGAGCCTCATGTGGGACTTGATCCTGGGTCTCCAGGATCACTGAAGGCAGCGCTAAACCGCTAAGCCACCAGAGCTGCCCAGAAAGAGAATCTTGAGCAGAGTCCCCACTGAGCATAGAGCCCAACTCAGGGCAGATTTTGCAACCCAGAGATCATGACCTGAACTGAAATCAAGAGTCAGACACTTAACTGATTGAGCCACCCAGTCGCCCCTATTCTAGTTTTGTGTTTACTAATCTGTCACACACACATACATTTACATTTTCATTTTGCATGTTCTTAAAATCTAAACAATTCATGTGTTCTTCTGGAACCCACCCACCCACCCCCTGTCAACATTAAGTCCCTAAAATGAATTCATGTTGATGTACATGACCGTAATTACATCCCTGTTGCCTCTAATGGCTTAGTGCTGCCAACCTGGCCTCTAGAATCCTGTTATGTCCATTGACTCTGAAGCATCTGTATCAATCTTGATCTAGAGGACAAGCAATTCTGAGCTTCTCAGAATGTACTTGTACAATACTTATCACTTTAGTGAAGGGAGTGTCTTCTGAGCCTTCCCAGGGAATGTTGCTAGCTGGTGGGTTCACTAGTATTAAATAATAAATGTTATCCTAATTCTAATCTATTTGAATTTTTTTACCCCTACCTCATCTTTCTTCTAAGAAATTCCAGTACCTCTATCTCATCATTGTTTTCAAGTTTCAAGGAGCCACTTTTGCAACATACTAGGTCCAGTTATAGGCATTCTTCCAGAACATAACGTCTTGAGTCACTGGATAGTGCTCCCTTATTAATAAACTCTCGCCTATCTAGCCTTATAGTCTGTCCTCCCTGATCCAGCACCTTTAAATTCCATTTCCAGGCAAATTCTCCTAGTTCCTGCTGGTACATATTTGCCAGGTTCTGCAGTGCTTTTGGTGAATAATCCCTTTCTTCATATTAGCAGTATTTCTCTGCTTGGCTCATAATAAGACTTCTAATTACTGGTCTAGAAGCAATAAAGAGAGACAAGGAAAGATCTTACAGACAGGCATCATCTTGCAAGGTATCTGCCCTAGGTAAAGTCTTTGCACAATCTCCACACAATCAGAGACTGGTTTCCTCTAGCAAGAGGAAGGGCTCCAGAGAATTCTGGCCCAGAGTATCCAGAGGAATCTGGGTAGTTAAGTCTTTAATCCCATTCACCCAACCATTCCCATCAGGAGTCTCCGGGCTCCTGTTCTTTCCTTTCAAGTCCCTGACTTTAGCATAAGAAATCTTCTGGACAGTGAATTCAACTTCCTTCTGCCGTACTGAAGATCAAATTTGGGGTCTTGTTTTTCAACTTAGTGTTCTCTGTCTACAGGAGATGAGACTCCCTTTAAAAGATGCCAGGGAAGATTTCTGGCCTTCTTTCAAACTATGTTCTAAATTAATGGTTATCTGATCAGAGCCTGTTATTTTCTTCCTTCATGGCTCCTCCAAAAGCTAACAACAAACCAACCTCAAAATTCTAATAATGCAAAATTCTCATATATTGCAGTTCAAGAACTATTCTATAGGCCAGTGCATTTTTTTAACTCATGCTTGTACATGATCCCAATTCATCACAGGTGAGACTTTTAGTAATAATGATGCAAGAGTATGCCAGAGATTATCAACAGCAATTGAGTCTTCATTGCCATCTGACCACCAAGTGATCCAGTTCTAAAACCTTATTCTGATTGTCTCTTTCTTTGCATCACTTCTCAGACCCACTGACTTAGACTGGGTTTCTCCAAAACTAAGGATCTAAGTACAAGTAGCATGTTTGAAAAGGAAAATGTGACATCAGGAAGTATTGGCAGAGGAATGAAGTAATACTGAAAGGGAAAGAAACAGTACAGAACACTTTAATGAGCAGGATACTGCTGAGGGCAACTAGGGATCAATCCCATAGGGCATCCCTAGGAAACATGTGGAATACATATCAGAGTGGTCCCACCCAAGGAGGCAGGGCAGCTAGGATATTTGTCCTTCATCTCCCATTGCCATTGGCTGAGGTCTCTTCCCTGAGCATGGGCCTGCCCCCACATTCAGATAAAGAAAAGCCATAGGCAGAGAATCACAACTGCTTCCAGTGAGGTTGGCTTGTACTAGATCATTCCAGAGTACCTTGGAGAATTGGGTGAGGCACCAGTGGCTGTCAGCTACACCTTCTCCAACTTCCTTTCTAAAATAACACATACCCCAACGATAGAATATTACTCAGCCATTAAAAAAGAATGAAATTGGGGCACCTGGGTGGCTCAATGGTTGAGCATCTCTTTGGCTCAGATCATGAGCCTGGGATCTTAGGGTGGAGCCCCACATCCGGCTCCCTGTAGGGAACCTGCTTCTTCCTCTGCCTATATTTCTGCCTCTCTCTGTGTCTCTTATGAATAGATAAAATCTCTAAAAAAAAAAAATGAATGAAATCTTACCATTTGTGACAACATGTTTGGACCTAGAGGGTATTATCCTGAGTGAGATTAGTCAGACAGGGAAAGACAAATACCATATGATTTCATTTATATGTGGAATCTGAAAAAACAAAACGAATGAGCAAACAAAACAAAACAGAAACAGATTCATAGATACAGAGAACAATCTGGAGGTTGCCACAAGGAGATGGGAGAATGAGCAATACAGGGGCAGGGGATTAAAAGGTACAAACTTCCAGTTTTAAAATAAAGTCATGGGGATAAAATGTACAGCATAGAGAATGTAGTTAATAATATTGTAACAACTTTGGTGACAGATGATACCTAGATTTATTCTTTCATAATGTATATAAATGTCAAAGCACTATTTTGATACCTGAAACTAATACATTATATGTCAACTACCCTTCAAAATAAGTAAATAAATAAAATAAAATAATACACACCACATCATCACCCTTTACTCTTCTATTTTTTTTAATTATTCACAGTAATATTTCTACCTGGAATTCCCTATATTTTTTTATAGTATCCCCCCACATAAACATCTACTAGCGTATAAGCCAACGACTTCATCTGATTTATTCACTGATATGTGCTCTGTGCTTAGAACAATGCCTAAAACATGGCATGCTCACAATAAATATTTTTGAGTGAATGAATGAAAAGAAGTAATATTTTCAATGCAGCTTAAAAACAGCAAAAAGGAGGCCAGAGTCTTAGAAGAGGGGCTTATTGAGCAGAGCCATGAAGGATAAGCTCTTTCACAAATATTTTCTCCCAACTCATGGCTTGTCTTCTCATTCTTTTGACATTGTCTTTCACAAAGCAGTTTTTCATTTTGATGAAGGCCAGCTTCTGAATTATTTTTTTCATCGATTGCGCCTTTGGTATTGTATCTAAAAAGTCGTCACCATAGCCAAGGTTATGCAGGTTTTCTCCAGTATTATTATTCTGAGAACTTTTTCCCCCCTATATCAATACTTTATTCTTTCTCATTGCTGAGTTCTATTGTGTGGGCATATTGCAATTTATGTATTTACCTGTTGCTGGATACTTGAGCTGTTTCATTTCTCTTAGGTCAATATCTAAGGGTTGAATGATGGGTCATTTTTGTTGGTATACATTGAACTTTAAAGAACTGATTCAGCTGTTGTCCAAAGTGGTTATATCATTTAGCATTCCAACTAATAGTACATGAGAGTTCTAGTACTCCGCATTCTCCCAAACACTTGCTATCATTAATTTTTTTAATCTTACCCATTCTAGCAGCTGTATAATGGTATCTCATTGTGATTTTAATTCAAATTTTAATTTTTGTGAAATCTGATTTATTTTTTTATATTTACACATTTTTGCATGTGTTTGAGAGATCTGTGCCAAACCCAAGGTTCCTACAATTTTCTTTTCTGTTTTCTTATATAAATTTTATAGTTTTAGCTCTTACAATTAGGTCTATGATCAAATTTGAGTTAATTTTTATATATGATCTGAAGTGAAGGTTGATATTCATTGTTGCTCTTGGTTAAAATATGTGCTTATTCTTAATCAGATGTGGGGTGATAAAATTGTATATAGAGAGGATAGCAACGAGAGATTTAGAAGTAGATAAAAGATGATGACTGACTATAGCCTAGATTTTTCAGGAGAGTCTTGATTTTTCATTTTCTGTCCTTTCCCCTTCCCCTAGCTTTTATTATTAAAAAAAGTTAAAAAAAATAAAAAATAAAATAAGAAAATAAAAAAAGTTCAAACATACAGAGAAGTTGAGAACAACTTTTATAAACACCCTTATACCCAGCATGTAGATTCAGTAGTTGTTAAAGTGTTTCCATTGCTTTATTTAATTAGATTTCTGAGCCATTTGAATGTAAATTGCTGAAACCAAAACACTTAGACCTAACACTTCAACATACTTAGGATATTCTTTTACATAAAATATGATTAGCATGTTCACATCCAAGAGAATTAATAATTATTCCCTATAGTCCTGTGGTATCCAATCC